TGTGTGTTAGTGTGTTAGTGTGTCTGTGAGTGTGTGAGTTCAGTTTTTGAAGGAGATTATTACATTAAATATGTATAATTTGGAAACAATGTGACCAATATAGAAAAGTACTTGTTGTTTGAAATAAAGAAGAACAATAATTAATTCATTTCTTGAAGGAACACCTTTGTAATGATTTAAAGCTGTGATTCTTGGTGGAATTTCTGCTTATTTCTTTTGATGATCTTTTTAAAAGCCTATTTTGTGGATTGAGTCATTTTCCAGGAATTAGACTGAGACGCTGTCGTCGCCGTCTAATTGGATTGTGAGTGACCAAAGGCCTTCAAGTTAGCCAGCTAACAGTGGACATCTGCGGCTAGCTGGCTAGTTAGCGGATAGCTGGCTAGTTAGCGGCTAGCTGGCTGATTAGCGGTTAGCTGGCGAATTGCACTTTGGTGTTGAGCTCACGGCGGAGAAGTTTCTGCTACTTCTACTGTCCGGAGAAGGTTCCGGGTCAAAGCCCGGAAGGGATCCCGGTTCACTGTCCAATCACAGCGCAGCAATCACCAGACTTTATTTCAGCGTCATTCCTCCCAAACGATGAGGCTTGTTGCTCTGAAATATTAATGAGCTACTGTGGAGAAGGAGCTGAGCCTCCTCCTCCGTACCTCCATCTATCTGCTGCTCCGTCTCCCGTTCTTCCCTCCTCTCTCTCTCTCTCTCTCTCTCTCTCTCTCTCTCTCTCTCTCTCTCTCTCTCGAGTGTTGTTGGATTGTTTTATGTCATATTAAAGAAACAAGTGCTCTGCAAATTAAAAAATACAACATTTTAATAAAATCTTCAGAGGAAACTTGTGGATTGATTTTGAATCGGTGCGATTAAAATGTTCTGGGTATTTAGCTCTCTCTGATATATATTCCATAAATAAGTCTTTTATTCCACCTCGATCAGGAGAACGTCAACAACACACTCATTCCATTTAATAAAGCGCCTTCATTTTATATTTGGTCCATTTTATGTTTTAAACAATAGTCTATAAAAGTGACTATTGTTCACAAACAATAGTTCTTGATGTTGAAATGGACCCTTCTGCGTGGCTTCAGACTATAAACAAACCAAATATTCAGACCAAGACTTTGATCGCAGCCTTTTCTTGTTCTTGTTCTGTGTCAGACGTGGCTGAAGAACTACGGCTACCTGCTGCCTAACGACCTCCGCACCTCCGACCTGCGGCAGGAGAAGGCCATGCAGTCGGCCGTGGCCGCCATGCAGCGCTTCTACGGCATACCGGTGACGGGCGTCCTGGACGAGACCACCATAGAGTGAGTGAAGCACTTACAGGGGCATGTGCACGCTAAAGGAGCATCTTCATGCTAATGATGCACCTGCACGCTAAAGGAGAATCGTCATGCTAATGGTGCACCTGCACGCTAAAGGAGCATCTTCATGCTAATCATGCACCTGCACGCTAAAGGAGCATCTTCATGCTAATGATGCACCTGCACGCTAAAGGAGCATCTTCATGCTAATCATGCACCTGCATGCTAAAGGAGCATCTTTATGCTAAGGGTGCCCCTGCATGCTAAAGGAGCATCTTCATGCTAATCATGCACCTGCATGCTAAAGGAGCATCTTCATGCTAAGGGTGCACCTGCATGCTAAAGGAGCATCTTTATGCTAATGGTGCACCTGCACGCTAAAGGAGCATGTTTTTGATCGTCATCCGATCATCAGATTATCCTTCTGCAGAACAAAAAACTCCTCTGGAGAATCAGAACAGCACATTTCATAATCCCTCTGCACAAATATCAGGGTGTAAATTAATCTTTACAAACGCCTTGAAACAGCTGAGAACACATCTTATTTTAAGTGGATTTGGTGAACTTGTTACTGCTTTTATCCAGCAGATTCTGGGGCGCCGACTGTCTCGTTTGAATTACACTCATTAGTATTTGCTGATGTTTCCTTGAGGGAGTGAGGGGGGGGGGGGGGGTTGGAAGGTGGTAATGCTTCATGGATGCATTATTTACATGATGAGATGGGTCCAACTCTCCCATCACTAATTATTCAACCAGTCCAACCAGTTGTTTTGGAAAGAATAACATTTCTTCTGGACTCATGCAACCAAACGCCATCGTCCACCACGTTCCAACAACATCTTCCCTCCTGTGTGTCACAAACCCTCAACACCGTAACAAACGTCAACAACCGTCCTGTTGTACGTTTAATGAACGTAATTTCATAGGAGACATGTTCAGCATTTCGTGTACGTAGCCTTCATGGTCTCATTGAGAATGAATTCAATAAGAATCAGCACATAAAGTTTAAGGCGACGCTAAATGTTTTCACGCTCGATAGCATCAGCTGATATGTCAGCTTGCGTGCAGGTGGATGAGGAGGCCTCGCTGTGGCGTCCCCGACCACCCTCATAGCAGCCGGCGGCAGAGGAACAAACGCTACGCCCTGACGGGGCAGAAGTGGAGGGACAAGAAGATCTCCTACAGGTATTTATCCCTCAAGTCTCCGTCCCACAGGACCCTGAATGCATCACTGCATTACTTCGTCTCTCTCCCTGCTCTTCCTCTTCGTTCCTCCTCTCCCTCCACCTTTCTCTTTCTTCTCCTCCTGTCTGCATGCGGTGGAGCCTCCATGTGACACCGGTCCAATGCGGATCACATCCAACGCTCGTTGTTTCTTCTTTTTCTCTCACTCTCATGTTCAGGTTCATAACCAGCTTTAGTGTATCAAAGAATAGATAAACTAAACCACCAATTCCAATCACTAATTTGCCATGGGACCAGAGCAGAGAGGTGAATTCACTTAAAGAACCCGAGGTTCCCTCCTCTCGTTTACCATCTGCACCACTATCTCGTCTCTTCCTCCCTCTCTCTCTGGCTCAGGGAGGTTCCATGAAGGTGTTTCCTCACAGTGGATGATGTGACGGTATGAAACATGAAGCTTCCTCTCTCATAGATGGACCGTTTCCTCTTCTAACAACCTCTCGGCTGCACATGGACTCATCCGTGCAGCCGCTGCCACCATGTCTAAGTGTTTGAGCTGAGTAGGTGTATGAAGTGTGTAGCACTTTGTTCCTGACTAACGTGTCCCAACAACATTTGTTGTGATGGGACATGAATCCCAAAGACTTTTGTTCATCCTCTAACTTGTCATGTTCGCATGCTGGCGCTAGCATTTAGCATCTAGCATCACAGAGCTGCTAGCGCGGGCGAGGGCGCTGCAGTCGGATCATGCTAGCGCTAACTAGCTCGTCCGCGTTGTCTGTGCTTCTTGGAGATCCAACGTGACTCATCCCTGCATCATGGTCCTGCTGGAGGTCGGACGGACCTCTAACGCTCTGTTTCTGTCGTGTTCCTCACAGCATATCGAACTTCACCCCCAAGGTGGGAGAGAAGGACACCCAGCGAGCCATCCGGCAGGCCTTTCACCGTGTGGCAGGCGGTGACCCCGCTCTCCTTCCAGGTCAGAGGTCACACCCATCTGGTACCAGAGATCTCAGATATACGTCCTACATGGATGCATTTCATTCATATCCCGACTTTACTCCTTTTCCACTTGAGGACACAAAAACAACTGCATCCCTGCACAGGATATGATAGTAATGATATTCACGTGCAGAAACGTGAAGTCAGCTCGACGCTTTGCGAGATACTGACGCCCCC